CCCCATTTTTTTCCCCTCAATAAGCACAGATTTGTTTGTTCATCATCACGGAAATGTTTAGACACCAAGCAATGAAATTCCGTTTTTCCTCAAGGAAGAAAGTGTAACAAGCGCTTACGCTTCTACCGTTGATCACCAGGCTGTCGGAGACAAGATATGACAGCCGAGGCCTACATCTATTACAAGCGGCTAATCTTCTGAAACAGAGTAATTATCCTACTTTACTCCAGAAGACTCTGTCCACATGGGGGAGTTAATTTGGAATAAGTACAAAAGAACAGCTATTTCAGAATTCCTGTTCAATTTTCCTTCTGGAAAAAAAGAGCTCAAAGACAGACCAGCCACTTCCCCTTCTCCACTTCTTTTTTTAGACTTTTGACTCTGTTCCCAGGTACAGCTATCTTCACCATGCTCCTTACAGCCAGCCCGCTGACCATCCCCAAAATCAGTTCAAGCTCCACCACTTCAGCCCTTATTTAGATGCCCCAAGACAGACTTTCATGCCTTCTCAGCCCTCCGTGTCAACACACATCTATCGCTACCCACAAATATCCAGTTTCCCCAGCACTCGATGTTACGTGAGATTTTAAAATGCAGTATTTCATCATCCTGTGCAGCCTTCTGCCTCCCAAATAATCCAGCAAAACCTATGAGAAAACATCCTTTTAAGTTACTTACGCTTCTGGAGAGAAGTCTTTTTCTTTGCAAACTTCCATCAGTTTGGGAGTCAGCCTATACGCCTTCAGTGACAAAGACCCTTGGGCAGTCTTAATGGGATCTAAAATTAAAAATACAGGTAGCATATTGTTACTAACGCCAGACTGCCTTTTTTATTTTGAAATATCTGAGTGACATAAATGTAAGGAAAATAACTAAGTAGCCCTATTTTAAAAAAAAAAAAAAAATTAAGACAACCAACAGAGAGAAGACACCATAGAAGAAGTGAACTTACGGTACTGAAATGTAAAATACAATCAACTCCATACAATAAAGCTAATTAATAAACTTAATTTGGAGAACATGGGGGGATCTAAACCCATTCAACTCGCATTACTGGTCTAATGCACATTGTCTTTTCTTTCATATGAACTATCCACAAAACTTATATAAGAGCTACCTCATTTAAACAAAGATTTTTTTCCCCTCCAGTCATTATGCAGTAAATTATTCATTAAACTACATTTTATATCAAAAAATTTAAAAATTTCAATTTTAGCAATAAGCTAATTCAGATCAGGTTGCCCTGCTGCTTCGTGCACATCAATGTAACTGATATATAACAAGATTAATGTTGTCTTGACATATTCTACTGAATTTAGGGAGAAATTTTCTAAACAAACTGTTACATTCCTGGGACAAAGAAGCTTAACACTTGCAGCATGATAACGGCTGAAGCATGCCAACATGAGAATAAAAGCTGTGTTAACATTCATGTTGTCTGAAACTTAACACAGTAAAACCTTTAGCAATCGGTGATAAAATGAAAACCAAAATAGACTGAAACAAGTGGAAAATTCATCAAGGTCTGATGATGCAATGTTTCCAGCCAATATAAGTATACTTTAACAACTTGTTCTTTACTGTAATCCAATTGTTAACATACTGAAACAATTTTGGGGCAGCTCATAAGATTGATCGTATTCATTAGTATTTTTTCTGACAGATACTCAGGACGTTACATTTACTTCTCAGCTGGAAACTATATGCAAGTCTGCCAGATATGGCAAACTGCGAGTGTTTGGGGAGGGGGAGGCTATAAAGCTGTTAAATTGCCTACGGTTCTGATACAGCACAGAACATCTGGTCTGGAGAGCTTGAGGAAACACCATTAAATAGGCAGAAAAGAAAAAAATCTTTGTGCTAAGAAACAGTCCAGGTTTTGTATGCTTCTGTCAGAGGTATAAAAAAAACCCTTGGCAATTCGTGTGATGATTGGTCAGTCACGTACAGAGCCAGACACGCTAGCAAGCGGGGTTTGTTAGACATCTGGTCGGGTTCCACCAGCCCCTTCGACGAGGGAGGGGAGATGAAGGAATAAAAATGAAGCAGCTACTCCAGCATTCCAAAACGTACACATCAGGGCTCTGATAGCAAGAAAAATAAACAGAAAGAAGGAAACCCTGTCTAGACTTAGCTGCTGCTGAGGCTGCCGTAGACACAGGGTTGGTATTTACTCGAAAAGGCCTGCCAGGCTACTCTTACAGGCAAAAGACAGAATACAAAAATAGTAGTAATAATATTAAGAGGGGAAAAGAATAATAAAGGAAACCTCATACTAACCGTAAATGAGAACTACAGACTCCTCAATTGCGTGCTGGTAACTGAACTGGGAGTCCAGGAGGGCACGAGTGACAAAAGAGCCATAGTATGTGGACTGGTACCAGCCAACGTGAAGATGATCAATGTTTACGTGGCGAAGGCTTCGCATCATTTCCATCTGGTATTGAACTAGATTAAATAAAAAGTGTGTTTAAAAAGTAAACTTACACACAATCTGCACTATTTCGAGACAGAGCTTGACATTACATGAGTAAATTACATTTTATTTTCATTTTTGCAACTGCGTAGAAGTTTGTTTATTCCCTGCTGGACTGTCTTCGTTAAAATCCAGAGCTTCCTCAGAGAATAAGACCAGCCTGAGTAAGCAGACTTTTTTCAGCTGCAGTTAATTGCTCAGTGATCAACAAACTGTTACACGTCATTTACAGTGTGTATTACCTTGCTCATTCATAAAAAAAAACCAAAAAAAACCACACTGACACTGGTTTTCATTAAGCAGTAAGATTTCACCATTTAATAACAAAGAAATAATTGTGATTTAAGTTGTAATACTACCCAGAATTAGATAACTTTTGGAATCAAAAGGAGAATTATTTAATGAGTATGTGAAATAGAAGATAAACTATTTATGTCTTTTTCACAACCTAAAACTACATTTTCAGTATTAGAGTTTGGGGGAACAGCTATAGCCGTCAGATAATTTTGACTGCATGTATATTCATTTTTTCAACACTTTCTTCTTTTTACATGTATATAAATACGTAAGTATGCAGAAATGCATATACTATATGTAATACCCTATATAAATGTGTACGTTACCTTAGATGGTAGATAACTTTTTTGTCAGGCTTTTTACAACAACAGCTGTAATATTTAAATTTAACCAATGCATAAATTCTGTTTCTGCTAAATGCTTCATTCAAACAGATTGCCAGGATGGAACAGAATTCTGTTCAGGAATGTTTAACATAATCCCATCAAGCAGACCAACACCTTATCACTTATCAGACCTTTTAAACAGACAAGACACTGTGCCTGCTGGTTCAATTTAAGGAGACAGATTTCAGTGTGATTATCAGATGAACCAACGCTCACAGCCAACTGATAGGAAATGAAATGCAACAACACTGCACTATCCTTAAGTTCTGTCTGCAGCTGCAAAACTTAAAGTTAAAAAAAAAAAAAAAAAATCACCCCCCGCCTATGCATTCATTTGTTAATTTTTTTCAAGGCTTCTCCTTGCACAGATGAAAATATGATATCCATTATAAAAGAAAGCAACATAAATTAATTAGAGGGCAGACTGTGCTACATTTTCAGACCCCACTTCATACCCTTTCAAGAGAAAAAGAATCCAACCGTGTTCTTTAAAGATACGAGGAGACATTTTTCAAGAAGGGACAAATATTTTTCCAACTTACGACCCTTTACAGCACGAAGTGCATTCTGCAGTCTGCTGCCCCTTCTCACTGCACTGCCGTATCTTACGGACTGTATCTTTAGAGTGATCCACGTACACTTATGTAAACCCTTGCAGACTTTTTCCATCAGCATTTGTTGGTGCTTGCATTCAGTTTCAGAGCACCTCAGCAGAAGTGACTTGCAATCTGTGTTTCACCCAGGACAACACGGTAACACAGCAGCCCAAAACGAACGCAGCAAAACCACCCAGGCTACAGTCCGAAATCCCGTGCTAGGCTGCCAGCGACGCAGAGGCCTGCCCCATGTGGCGCTCTCTAAACCAAGGCAAATCTAAAGATGCCACTACACCCCACGACAGCCAGTACAATGGATCAAACACCTATTTCCAAGCCAGTATGAAAACCCTCCCCCTTGCCAGATCAAAATAAATTTTAAGCCCCCTTTCCCTGCACAACTTCTTGAACAGGGGCCAGTTTCAAGCACACTCCTTACACAGCTGCCCCGATTGACGCTCCAGCAGGTAGCATCGACGTTTCTCATGGAGGCAAAGCTGACATCCAGCGTGCCAAAGCCGCTCAGTCTGTGAACTTAAAGGTTTCACTGGATATTTTTTTGGGGGGAGGGGGGAACATGTCAAGTTTCTAAATTTTATAATTAAAACAAAGAACACAGACCTCCCCCGAAACAAACTAAAAGACTCCTGCTGTGACCACAGTTCTGAATTGAAAAAGCATACGATCCATTCGTTAAGTGTAGCCAGAATGAACTATTTCGGTTCAAAGATGAAAGATATATTTGTGTGGAAAGCAAGTAAGACTAGCTTTTGACATGATGTGCTACAGGTTACATCCTTTCTAGCCAAATGAAGTCAGGGAAAGGAAAAATTAGGAAGGGATTTTCAAAAGCAGCTGAAAGAGAGAAAACATTTTGATAATGAAAATCCACATTTAACTCAATTTTCAGATAGCTGAACTAGAATGCTCCTTGCAGCCGCAATTCTCTTGTAATTGAGGACACTGTCAAAGTAGAGGTGGTGATGTAACGATGGGAAAAAGATACTTGGCGATTCCTATGAAATCATGTGGTTGATCTGTTCAGATAGTTTCTAAGAGGTGTAATGTTAGAGAGAGGGAATACTCTAAGAAAACATCCAGATCTTTCAAAAACTTGAATAAAGGCATATAATGCTCTTCAGAGTGTTCACCTGAGAGTTAACTGGTAATCAAGTTCCAGGACAACTTCTTTTCTTGGACATGGCATAACCAGCAATATGCAACTGAACATAAGTGTAAGCAGTATCATCTCCACGACAAAGGACTCACTGAAAGCCATCCAGATTTCAAGTCAGCAATTCCTCCCCTCATGACTGTTAGCAGTTAGATGATAATGAAGGCAATAGCGGAAAAATCTCAAAGAACCAATAAAGCATCAATAGCTAACATCTCTGCCTTGGGAAAACAACTGCAGAAATTAAAACATGATGCAGTCCCCACCAGGGAGACATGGAAACTCTTTTAACCAAACATATATATTTTATAACATGTATTAGTAGCTAGATAGCTCCAACAAGCTGCCAACTTGCACAAATGGATAACAGCCCCCAAGTTGCTTTTGTTGATATCGTTACCACTGTTTCTTTACATCTTTTGCCCAGTCTACAGAACAACATCTTTTTACCTAGAAGTGTAGCAGAGCCTAGGCAGCTCTCAGCCCAGCCCTCAGCCTGCGAGGACTTAGGGACGGCAGTGCACTACTTCTAGTGAGGAGTTCACATTTTTCAGTCACAGGCCTTCCCAAGCCACGCTGCAAAGGTGCCACGAAAACGCACGAGACTCCCCAGAACAGAGATGAGGAAGGAAAAGGACAGGAGAACAGCCAGCCCAAAAGCTTCCCCTTCTTCTCCCCCACATTTATACAGAATATCTACATTTTTAAGCAAATAATTTGTTCAGGTGAGGAAAGTCAACAGGCATGCCTTCACTTCTCAGTGCGCTTCTGGCACCGGGAACACAAAGCCTCTCAGCTGAGCCATCGTGCATCTCCTGAGCATCTCTCTGGGATGGATTTTTTTGTTTTGTAACAGAAGATTCTCTCTTTTGCTATTACTAATCAAACCCTCCTTCTAAAAGGGCTTTTTTTTTTGTTAGTTTGCAAACAAAGGTGAGGTGGGTGTGTTAATGCAGCTACAAAGTGTTACTATAATTTGTCTAAAGCAGGTAAGGTACAAAACTTGTGTATGGAAGTTTTGCTTGAATATGACTGAATCGTGTGAATTTGTACTAACAAAATCCATTGACTGAAAACAGTAAATCCTGAAACAGTAACAGTGCTGGGTAGTTTTCCCCTGAATTCATGTTTTAATTAACTTGTTGCAAAAGATTAAAAGAAAATACTAAAATAATGCAAACACTTTCTCCTTTTCTAAAAAGTACTAGCAACATTAGAAGCTTTATCTGGGCCTTAACATATTGGAGGTATATACCCTATCTAATCAATAAGAAAACAACATATCCAAAATTGTATAATAAACCAGAGACCAGGCCAAGAACTGAACACTAACGTGACGACCTGTTCAACCGTGGGACAACTCAGCCACATTCTAAATACCTTAAAATATCCTCAGTCAGTAACTTCACTACTTGAAAACCTAATTTAAGAATAGGTCAAATCAACTGAGGTCCTGAAAGAAAAGAAAAAAGGTCCATATAATGATTTTAAAATGGAAACAAATCTAAGACACCAGCATTTACAAACAACTGGCAAATTCACATCCTTGAAATAATAGCTTATTTGTAAAATGCTTCCAAAACAAGTGTTCTTGTAGCAACCTGGCACATGATGCAAATTTATCTATTGCTAAAACTGTATTCATAGAATCATAGAATGGTTTGGGTTGGAAGGGACCTTAAAGACCATCTAGTTCTAACCCCCCTGCCATGGGCAGGGACACCTTCCACTAGACCAGGTTGCTCAAAGCCTCATCCAGCCTGGCCTTGAACACTTCCAGGGCTGGGGCATCCACAGCTTCTCTGGGCAACCTGTTCCAGTGCTTCACCCCCCTCTCTGGGAAGAACTTCTTCCTGATATCTAATCTAAACCTCCCTGCTTTCAATTTAAACCCATTACCTCTTGTCCTGTCGCTACAGGCCCTTGTAAAAAGTCCCCTCCCAGCGTCCTTTTAGGCCCCTTCAGGTACTGGAAAGCTGCTGTAAGGTCTCAAATACCTGCAATAAGGTATTATTTTTATTTATAAACAATTAATTAAAATCCAGCTCTCAGAAGGCCACATATCAATGTACCAAAACGTACCACATATCAATGTGCCAAAATTTAGTTATTGTCTATTTTTATTATGATAGTATTTTAGTTATAAATTAGTGTCCTTAGTAACATTACCATCAGATGAGGTGCACTGCAGCCTGGCCACATTCAGACTGCTGGCGAATATTATGACATGTGAAACCCTGATCGAAGATGGCCTGGAGGCACTACATTTGAAGGTACCTCAGATGTTCAAGGCCTTAATTTCCAAAACACATTAAGTTGATATGCCTTAAGAAATCCGTTTTTAAGGGCAGCAATGAACACGCCTTCTAAGAAGCCAAGCCCCACCAAAGCGGAAGAACTTGGTACCCAGGATCACGTGCCGCACGCTGGTTTTACGCTGCTGCAGCGTGCAGCAGGCATAGGACACAGGCAGCACTGCCGAAGGAGGTGGTAACCAACTCTCTGCTACAAACATCTGC